CACTTGCCTTTGGCATAGGGGATAGTTACCCATGGACATTCAATATTTGTAAATTGACTACCAGACATAATTTCAATGTACATGTACTGGATTTGAAGGCATTGTTTTGTAAAATTTGATTACTAGGTTTGAAACATGTAGATGGGTTCATTAGAGTTCAGAAATTAACAAAAAAAAATTATATTTTGAGTAATGAACCTGATATCTTGTGGAAATTATGAACATTGTCAATAGTTTTGTTTTTGCCCTGGTTTCTGAGGGAAGAAGTATCTCATCATCAAAATTATCCTTAAATTAGTAATATGGACTGAAAAAGTATTTTTGTTGACTTGATGACTGATCTTGTTCTGAATAGTAATACTTTCCTAACAAAATAAAATTTTACCATTCAATTAGAGTTTCCTTCTCTACTATGTACAGCTATGTAGATGCAGAATCCCATTAATAAAATGTTTTATTTATTTATTATTATTTTGGCATTAGAATTGGATTTATAAACAAATCTGCAATACCACAACTCCACTGCATCCCTTGCTGCCACCACTCATAGAAGTCTACGTCACTTCAATATTACAACCCACACACAGCGGTGGTGAGCAAGCAAGAAATAGGCCATTAACATTGAGAGAAATCATATCAGTGTATGAAGACACCAGGATTCGTACTGGAGGATCAGTCAGTGAATTCACTATGATGTATAGTGAATCACATCAAGAGCAGAAACATGTTGGAGGATTAACTGCCCAGTTATTGGTTTTATATTATATTTTACTTTATGAAGACTGTCTTCTTACGAATATGAAAATTGTAGGTAAGTTAATTTTAGTCCAAGTCTAGAGTTTATATCTAGGTTTTTATAATGTATTATTAGTCCCTTTTTCGAAAACACTTTTTGTATAAAGTTTGTACAAAGGCAAGACATAAAGGGTTACATGATCCTTTCAGGTATTTTTGGATTCTGATGAAATTTAACAAACTGGTGGCTATTTTCGTCAAAAAAAAGTAAAATTTGAACATTTCATCAACTGTTTGCCACACATGCCTGGGTACATTTTATTCAGACTTGGTTTGATATCACACATAGTGTGTTACTCATGCATGTAAGTTGTTTTGTGATTCTATTCAGAATGGCCAACTGGTGGCCTTATTGGTTTTAATTTCTGGTGTTTTTAACATGCTTTGACAGGTTAAGTTTAAAGTAGGTACAAAGACGGGACGTAACAATGTACTTAATGATGCATGTTCATTTGCTTTTTATTTTGATGACTTCTGACTGACTGGTAGCCATCTTAGTCACAAAACTCAATATTTGAATATATGTCATCAGTAGTTCTCAGACATGTCTTAGTCAATTTTTTTAGCTCCTGTGTATGCGAAGTACACAATGGAGGTTATGAGTTTCCTGTCTCTGTGTAAGCAAAATCACAAAATTTTTATAAAATTTACTGGTACTATATGTTGGTGCTGAACATCTGCTGGCTGATGATTCTAACCCTTAGTGCCAGTGACATTGACTGGTGGGAATTTTCATTTCCTAAAAATTTGTTAAACAACAATAATTGCGTATATATTCTGTATTCAGATGGGTGGTTAGGAGTGTTTAACTTTGATTTAACAATACTCTTTTCAGCAAATACAAAATCAGAATCTTATCCGAAGTCCTTGCTCGCCCAGATACCAATAAAACACCTGTTACAACAATGTCAGCAACAACAACATCATTATGGTGGCTTATATCCATCACTATTACGTCTTGTATCAACCCATTATCCTCATCTTAGCCAAGTAGAAGATTTACTAGGAGAAGAGTTGGTTAGAGTGCCAGAGATTGTACACACTGTGGTGTACTCTACCAATGTACCATGTACTCCATACCAATTACATACAGGTTTGTATCTTCCATTGTTATGTCTTGTGTGCTGCTCATTACTATTTGTTCATTACAGTAACTCTTGCTCTGTGTTTTACTATTTGCTCATTACAGTAACTCTTTCTGTATTACTATTTGTTCATTACAGTAACTCTTGCTCTGTGTTTTACTATTTGTTCATTACAGTAACTCTTGCTCTGTGCTTTTGTTCATTACAGTAACTCTTGCTCTGTGCTTTTGTTTATTACAGTAACCCTTGCTCTGCTTTTGTTTATTACAGTAACCCTTGCTCTGTGTTTTACTATTTGTTTATTACAGTAACCCTTGCTCTGTGTTTTACTATTTGTTCATTACAGTAACTCTTGTTCTGTGTTTTACTATTTGTTCATTACAGTAACTCTTGCTCTGTGCTTTTGTTCATTACAGTAACTCTTGCTCTGTGCTTTTGTTCATTACAGTAACTCTTGCTCTGTGCTTTTGTTCATTACAGTAACTCTTGCTCTGTGCTTTTGTTTATTACAGTAACCCTTGCTCTGTGTTTTACTATTTGTTCATTACAGTAACCTTTGCTCTGTGTTTTACTATTTGGTCATTACAGTAACTCTTGTTCTGTGTTTTACTATTTGTTCATTTCAGTAACTCTTGCTCTGTGCTTTTGTTCATTACAGTAACTCTTGCTCTGTGCTTTTGTTTATTACAGTAACCCTTGCTCTGTGTTTTACTATTTGTTCATTACAGTAACCCTTGCTCTGTGTTTTACTATTTGTTCATTACAGTAACTCTTGTTCTGTGTTTTACTATTTGTTCATTACAGTAACCCTTGCTCTGTGTTTTACTATTTGTTCATTACAGTAACTCTTGTTCTGTGTTTTACTATTTGTTCATTACAGTAACTCTTGCTCTGTGTTTTACTATTTGGTCATTACAGTAACTCTTGTTCTGTGTTTTACTATTTGTTCATTTCAGTAACTCTTGCTCTGTGCTTTTGTTCATTACTGTAACTCTTGCTCTGTGCTTTTGTTTATTACAGTAACCTTTGCTCTGTGTTTTACTATTTGTTCATTACAGTAACTCTTGTTCTGTGTTTTACTATTTGTTCATTTCAGTAACTCTTGCTCTGTGCTTTTGTTCATTACAGTAACTCTTGCTCTGTGCTTTTGTTTATTACAGTAACCCTTGCTCTGTGTTTTACTATTTGTTTATTACAGTAACCCTTGCTCTGTGTTTTACTATTTGTTCATTACAGTAACTCTTGTTCTGTGTTTTACTATTTGTTCATTTCAGTAACTCTTGCTCTGTGCTTTTGTTCATTACAGTAACTCTTGCTCTGTGCTTTTGTTTATTACAGTAACCCTTGCTCTGTGTTTTTGTTCATTACAGTAACTCTTGCTCTGTGCTTTTGTTTATTACAGTAACCCTTGCTCTGTGTTACTATTTGTTCATTACAGTAACCTTTGCTCTGTGTTTTATTATTTGGTCATTACAGTAACTCTTGTTCTGTGTTTTACTATTTGTTCATTTCAGTAACTCTTGCTCTGTGCTTTTGTTCATTACAGTAACTCTTGCTCTGTGCTTTTGTTTATTACAGTAACCCTTGCTCTGTGTTTTACTATTTGTTCATTACAGTAACCCTTGCTCTGTGTTTTACTATTTGTTCATTACAGTAACTCTTGTTCTGTGTTTTACTATTTGTTCATTACAGTAACTCTTGCTCTGTGTTTTACTATTTGGTCATTACAGTAATTCTTGCTGTTTTACTATTTGTTCATTTCAGTAACCCTTGCTCTGTGTTTTACTATTTGGTCATTACAGTAATTCTTGCTGTTTTACTATTTGTTTATTACAGTAACCCTTGCTCTGTGTTTTTGTTCATTACAGTAACTCTTGCTCTGTGCTTTTGTTTATTACAGTAACCCTTGCTCTGTGTTACTATTTGTTCATTACAGTAACCTTTGCTCTGTGTTTTATTATTTGGTCATTACAGTAACTCTTGTTCTGTGTTTTACTATTTGTTCATTTCAGTAACTCTTGCTCTGTGCTTTTGTTCATTACTGTAACTCTTGCTCTGTGCTTTTGTTTATTACAGTAACCCTT